TTTTTTTAATAGACATTTAACATTACATGACAATTCTAAGGTACACGGTACTAACTTTAACTTTCTGTTGATTGTATGCAAAGTAATCAATAATCTTAAGAAATCTTAAAAAAAATAAAAAATAAAAAAAAAATTAAAAAAAAATAAACGCGCACAAGATGAGTCATTTCCACGTAGATGTGAATAAAACCTCAAACGTGAGAACTTTCACATTTATTTTTTTTTAATTTCTGTATGTTTTTTTTTTGTTTTTTGTTTGTTTGTTTGTTTGTTTCTTTTTTACAACTTTTTTTTAATTTCTGTATGTTTTTATTTTTGTTGTTGTTGTTTTTTTTTATATATACATATATATATAACTTTAGATAATCGACCGTTTTTTTCCCTAACTTGCCTTTCAGCAAGACAGATTTTTAATAAAATCCCTTAAAGGGAAGTGCAAAAGGTGTCAAACACCAAACAATAATTGCTCCGTGATGAATGTAGATATGAGTCATGCACATAATTGCTTGGAATTTACCTCGCCTTAGCTTAGTTCTCCATACATTGAAACCATCGTCATATTGATAAATGAAAAATAACAGACATATATTTTTCTTTTAAGCATATCATCTCTTAGAATTATNCTTAAAGGGAAGTGCAAAAGGTGTCAAACACCAAACAATAATTGCTCCGTGATGAATGTAGATATGAGTCATGCACATAATTACGTGGAATTTACCTCGCCTTAGCTTAGCTCTCCATACATTGAAACCGTCGTCATATTGATAAATGAAAAATAACAGACATATATTTTTCTTTTAAGCATATCATCTCTTAGAATTACGAAATTTCCAAGTGACATTTATTGGGCGAAATGCTGAAAAAGCGGTTTCGTATTTTCCTCAATAATTACATGTTTAGGTTCAAACGTAGCATGTCTGTTTCTGAGAGTTTTGAGTTGCTTAATGTGATACCAGCTTGTACGTTCATCCACCACGATCTTGCTCAAGGAATGCCTTGTATTTCTAAAACAGCTCGGTCATTCCCGGTATTGGACTGGAACTAGCTTGCAATAGAGGCTCATGGGGGGAATATCATTAAAAAGAGATTAATGTCATTTGCATTTCAAAAGACTCCCTGCATTAGCCTCAGTTGCAAGCTAGTCCCAGTCCAATACCGGGAATACGAATGTGGCCTATTTGAGTCAGTGGTAGATACACCTCGTCGTAAATGTGTTTGGTTGGCGTAAAATGGTTATCAACGATGGTGTCGTTGATGGCGTCATCGTGCCAGGAGACTAAGATAATCTATTCGTTAAGATTGTGGGACAGTAAACGCAGTCTTTACTATATCATTGTTTGAAAGACCAATTACAGTCTTTTAGTGTGGTGGATCACAGCATTAAAGGATTACCATCTCTGTTTATCTGTTTTGCATTCAACTTCAGTTCCGGGCTGATTTTTATTTGTTTTATGGGGATAGATTTAATGTTTGGAATTCTGGACTGTTTTCGTTACATTAGGTTTCTGTTCATATATTGTAATGTAATTTCAGCGGGGCTTAAGAGTAATTAGTTATAAAGAGGTTTGTTATATTGTTATATCGGGGTTGTACTGTAGTTTTAGTGATGGTGTTATTGTTTGTTATTAGTTATAGTAAGTGGATCGAGTGGAGTACAATTCAGAGAGTAATTAATCACGCGACTACCCTAATGATTCAATTTAGCGCCCGGGGCGCTTATTTTCTTTTGGTACCTCAAGGGAGGGCGCTTGTTCGGGACAGGGCGCGTATTTCATTTTTGAGAAACAACCGAATGTTCAAAACAAAACGTTAATACGGTATGAGGACATTCAGGGGACAGCCGCTTCATAGTGTCCTTAATTGCGTTCTCAAATTCCCGACAGTGTTCTTTCTTGAAGAGGAGTGGGTGCTTCACATGGTATGTGGAGTGTAGATGTGCAACATCCAAAGTCATACAGCTGAGGAGGTTAATGTCAGAAAAAGAAAGAACAGATAAAAGAGACTCCATTCTCTTTAAGCCCCAGTGTAGCAAGTCAACAGACTTCACGGTAGCCACAGAAACCATTTTGGGGGTCCGTTCAATAAAATTTTCCAAGCAGCTTTCTACGCAAAGCACGGAACGCTCAAACTCGGAAAGGACGTCCCTGCATAGTCCCACTTTTTCTACCGCCTGGCGTCATACAGATATCCCAAAGCCTTTTAAAATTTCGCGGTTTCACAGAGGGGTGTCACAATTTTCACTAAATTTGACAGAGCGTCACAAACATGAACGACACTGTCAAATTCTACGCAAACACCCATTGGCCGTTTAAACTTGCATTCGGCTACTGGTCCATCTTGTCAACCTTCTTCACTTCCAGCAAATAAACTTGTCGATGTTGTTATGGCGTGACCCGTGTGACTGCTCCTTCGATTACATTGAAGGTCAAATGTTAGCCCGGGACCAAGCTCCGCTGTGGGGTTAAGGAGCCCAGAAAAAAACAAAAAACAAAACAAAAAAAACAAAACAAAAACAAAAACAAAAACAACAAGAAAAAAAGAAAAAAAAAAAAAA